AGTGAAAGAGCCTGCTGGAAAGACCATCAGCATATGCTTCTTCTTGTCAATTTTTTTCCACTTTCTTATTATTTAAAAATTATTTTTTTATTAAGTGTTTTTCTAATTCTGTTGTTGAGAAGAATTACAGTCCAATTGCTTTATACATGAACCCACCAGAGGAAACTCAAGTGGGAACAGAATTGTTCCCAGGGATTTCATTATATAGCATAGATTGGACTGGGGGTTGGCGCCTGTATAATGTTAAAGCCAGGAAGCGTTGGAAGACACTTCAATTTCAGTCCTCGCTCAATTCAGTTGTGATTGTGTGGGGACCGTAGTGAGGAACCAATTTGATCCATCTTCGATGACAAAGCTGTATATACTAATATATCATAGCTTGTGAAGTTTTGATGATTCAATGTTCTTGTTGTGTCATTATTGGTAAAACTTGTGGAAGAAGTGTTTTGGGCCTGAAGACACATGAGATTCATGAGTGGGTCCCACAGGGAGGTGACCTCTGTGCCATGAATGATATCTATTGCCTCTAGGATCCACAGAGCCTGAAATCCACAGGGAAAAGCCCCTGAACTTGGTAGAGGACTATCCAGTCTGCCCTGCTCCTTGTCCCCCGTCTGAACTTCTTTATGGCAGACATTTTTCAAGACCTGTGGTTGCAGTTTCAAAAGTAAAGCAAGTGTTTCCTCCAACAGTTGTCTTAGTTCCTTCTTCACACATGCATACATATAATAAGAAGAAAAGTGGACAGAATCATCTCTGCTAAAGAAAAACCTGTAACAAACCATGACTACTGCAGCTAAAATCGGGGTTTGTTGGCAGAGTGATGCACAGTATCAACTTGTTCTGTGTCTGTCCTCATGAGTGTGGTTAGTCCCATGCTTTGTATATGGATTCAGGGTAGAAAATAAAGTGACTAGATGACCAGGAAAAAGCATCTTTAGTTAAAACAATGCCACTGCTTTTGTGTCTCATCTTCCTTTGTATTAAGTCTAGGTGTAGTTAAAATCTAAAGACACAGAGCCCAGACATCGCTTTCAGCGAATAATAATTTGTGAACATTGGTAACCTGCTTCTCGTACTGTTTGAATTAGTATAGTGCAACCACTGTACCTTTTGAAGGTAGAGCCTAGTAGTGTTTTATTGTCAATTATAATTATTCCTCACCTAATTGCTGTCAGAATTTGCTTGTTTTGGTGCATGAAAGTGTTTCCTAGCTTAGGAAGCGTAGTTCTTAAGAAGAGATCAGAAGCTGCCTGTGTGTGGCAGCCAAATTAGCATTATTTCATTATACAACATTTCAGCCTCCTATTTGATACAGTGTTGATATATTTCCTTCAAAATGAAAATATGTAAGATTTTAAAGCTGTATAAATAAAAGGGGGTGAGAAAAATCGACACCTAAGAATTCTGATCTACATCTACTTCCTCTCTGTCTACCAATCTAAGATTGATCCTCCAGTTACTTATAGCTATGTTTAATCTTAGAAATGTGAGTAGATTTACTGGATTTCAAAGGAGTTTCTGCCTGAAGTCTCAGGTTATAAGTTCTGGTCCAGGGACGTACTCTTGCATAAATCTACTTAATGTATAGCCCACCATAGGGGCCAGCATCAGCAATGGCGACATTAATAATATGTAAAGAATGCACTTAGGTTCCCATCAAGTATTTTAAGCAAGCAGAGTTTTATTTTGCAGAACTTACAAGACAGGTAAATACCAAACAGGGTACTGGGGTTTGCCTGAGTTATGAAAGGATAATGAAACAGCTGTGTACTGGTGTATGTTTTGGATAAGATCAGTTTATTTCTTCTGTCTTTGGAAAACACTTGGCACAGTAGATCATGAGTATTCGTACATCCTCTTACAAGAGAAATCGTTGTTTGGGACGACATGCGGCAGGAGAATGAAAATTGTGCTGGCATTATTTAATTGCACTTAAACATCACATCTGCATTTCTAAAATAGTTACTAAGTACTTCCTCCATCCTTTATGCAGTAGAGTGTCCTTATCTTACCCGTACAGTGCCATCCCCACATGTTCGCTACCTTCTGCGGAAATCTCCCCTTCCTTACATTTTCCTTTTCTCCGCCAGACACTGAAGGATGCCAGTGACAATGCCCGCAAGGACTTCCACCGTGAGGCAGAGCTGCTAACTAACCTGCAACATGAGCACATCGTCAAGTTCTACGGTGTCTGTGTCGAGGGGGACCCGCTCATCATGGTCTTTGAGTATATGAAGCACGGAGATCTTAACAAATTCCTCAGGTAAATCCATGAACACATACTGTGCTGGAGAGCCAGAAGTGGGCAGAGAAGGTAGGTGTTACTGGTACTTAATGTCAAATTAACTACTGCCACTGGATAATGCTGACACCTAGGAGTGCAGATCTGTGCAACCCTCATCTTCTGCACTGGGCTCATTGTTTCATTGCATATTTGGAAGTACCATTAATTCAAGCCTTACGCTCTGCGCCAAAGGAATGGCAACCAAAGAAATGCTGTTTTCAATAGATTTCAGTGTGTTCTGAAATGTTTGGTTATACATCTTACAGTAGGAATCATTTTCTTGCAGGCTTTCTGATAGCACTTGGGAAGATCCCACTCAACACCTATAGGTATCTGTAGGCGTCCAAGAGCTTTTGAAATCTAACCCCTTTTCTCTTCCTTCCTCTCAGTGTTTTGGAAAGACTGCCATTAATCTGAAGGAAGAAAACTGTGAGCCATGGGAACTTCAGTGCAATGGAAAATGCTACGTCTTGGGGTCTGGGTTAGGGCTTTATTTCATAAAGCTGTTCAGGAATGTGCATCAGAAATTGAAACGTGGCAGTAAAGCAGTCATAAACAAGTAGATAATACCTAAGGTTCACAATAATAGGTAGCTCATGAACCAGGATGTGCTGAACAGTGGCCTTGCATATGTGTCATTGCGCTAGCCTGCACTTGTTGACACAAGAATAAGCAATTAAGAGACAGCTTTTTCTCCTATGTAAAAAAACCCAAACAAACAAACACTACCAGAACATAAGGGACTGTTCTTTCAAGGTCTTCTATGTGATTTTCATCAAAGGATATCACAAGGGCATTTAAATGTACTGAGATCTCTCCTGCCGAAGATAACTAGGGGTACCACCATTTTGGAAAGAAATCTGTGGCAAAGCTGTAAAACAATCAAAACGGATGTCCCTTTAAATGGGTTCAGATTTTCTGTCTGACTGAAATGGCTAGTGTCTGCTAGTGTCACCATTTATGCATTTTTGATAGCTGTGTGAAACGAGTTTGCTGTCTTTCTAATCTCCACTGAACAAATAACCACACCGTAACAGCAAATGACATCAACCAGCATCTTCCCTTACTGGCAGGGCTGCCAGGTCTGGCAGGGAGTCGGGGGCCTGAGCTGGGGTTGCAGAGCAAACATGAAAATCTGGCAGAGGATTTAAGTGTATTGTCAGAGCTATGTCTGGGCTTTTCCATTTGCGTACTTGGACCTCTGCCGTGGATTGGGAGAGAACTGCAGTTTCCTAAGATGCCATTCCAGTACTTATTCAGAATTATTTCTGAAAAGTATTTTCAGATTTTTCACTATTATTTCTGAAATAGTATGTCTATTAGAAGCAGCCAGATTTACAGCTGATAAGAAATAATTTCTTATTTCATAATAAATACTTATTCTTTGATTCTTTTTGATTGGCCCTTTCCTACTTCCTAACTCTGATTTTGATTTATTGTACAGAAAGGTAGTTGAGCAGACAGTATATTTCCTATTTTAGGTCTTCCCTTTCTTTAAATTATTAATCAGCCCTTGTCTTTAGAACATAAAATTATGATGCTGGGACAAGCTGTTAAACCTAAGCTCCAATTTGTCATTCCTCTCACACTGGCTGCAGCTTGTGCCGCAGATGAGAGGTTAGCTGTGAGCGGGCTGTAAGAGCCCCTATTTCTTACCCTGCAGCGCCACCAAAGGCTGTCGGGGAAAAAATTAATCTGAATTTTAACCCAAATAAGCCTTGCTGTCTGCATGCAGCCAAAGGCAGGTCTAGCACTAAAGCCTCAAAGTCATGCCTTCCCTGGTCTTGTTCTGGCTGGTTGAGACTGATAGGGATTCCAAGGAAATCTGTTCCTGGCTGTTGCAGACACAGGGGCACCTCGTTTACAGCTAGCACTAAGAGGAGAAGCAAGGTGGATGGCGTGTTAAGAATAATCCAAAAACTTCATTAGACACAGACCATGTTCTCAAGGAAGCTAGCAAAAGATGGAGAGTTCTCCAGTTTAGCAGCTGAGAGTTTCATGTCTGAGAGCAGTCATTAAAAATACCCATGCAGTGAAAAGGTACAGTGCTTTTCAATAGGAATTTGTCTGTGAGTCTTGTTTGGAAATTTCATATCCTCCCGTTTATTGCTTCCCAACCCAGGGCAGTTGAATGGCTGCCTGTATGTACCCTGTGGCAGAGAGCTTCTTTGCCTGGTACCAGATGCAGTCCCAGCAATGCTACACACCCTCCTTCACTTCTTCCTCTTATCTGTCACTTTGCTCATGTTCTTCCCTTGGGGCAATTTTAGTATCATATCTCTAATAGGTAGTGTCAGATTTGGTCTCTTAGATTTTGATTAATTTGCAACTCTTTTCCAAACTCAGGTGCCCTGCCCCTAAGGACAAATCAAGGTCTCACCTCTGTTGATTAGAAAGATGATTCCCTGAAACTCCTCTTTGTAAGAGGGGATTTTTGAGAGAAAAAATAATCAGTTCTAGAGTATTTAAAAAAAAAAAAGTTAAGGACAGAAGAGGAGAGGTGGTCCCTTAGAAAGGATGGTCTGCGGGATTGGAATAAAAAAGGCTTCTGAAAACCCAGGATAATGGAATGGATGGAAAGAGATACTCAGAATATTATGAAGTGTATCAAATAAGGAATGATTGCTGGATGATCTCATTAATTGGATAAGGATTAGCTAGTTATGCTTACTATAAAAGTTTTGTGTAGGCATGTTTATATCTGTATCTTCTAGTTTCTAGGATGTTACACATGTATACCAGAGCTAACAGAGTTAAGATGAGTGAAGCACATGACTTCCGGTACTTTCCTGGGCTTTCCAAATGCAAAACAGGTCTTCTGCTGGAGTGTATGCAAGTTTCTCATTAATCAGTTGGCTGTTGCATCTTAGGGACATGCTAGGTCTTGAAAAGCTCGTATTTTCTGAAGCTGTTTAATTGTTCCAAATATTGTGTGTTTTGTGTCCTCTTCCTATTGTCAAGAATTCCAGTCCCAGGCAGGACTCATCCTTGTTGATGAAATAAGCAAAAATGGTTTCCTGCTATGGATTTGGATAGGAAACTAGAAGTGTAAATCTGAAATTGCTGCCCTTGTTTCTCAGATGGCATCTCAGAAGGAAGTCAGCTTTCTCTTCTTTAAGAAAAGATGGAAGGATCAATGTCCTGTCTTCCTGTAAAAATCAGAGAATGCCAGACCACTTCATTGTCTTTCACTCTATTGCCTTTCACTACTACAGAGGGATAAGATTTTCCTCAGTTACCAAACAACTACATTTGCCAGCCTTTCTCCAGAAAAGATTACTAGAACAGAACAGGAGAAGGGTCATGGTTTCAGACAAAGGGGTGTTATTATGAATGCATGTGCCTTATTTCCATGAGTAATATATCACGCCACCTGTCTTTCACACAGTGAAGGAAAACAGTAAATGAAGAAAGCCAAGATACAAATTTCCTCCTATCTCACCAAGAATTTGTAGCCCTTTTTATTACTATAATTGAGCGAGTCAGTCGTCTGGTTTTAGACTCACTAACGCCTTTCACCTCTCCAGCTTACAGGTGGCCTATCACTTAATCAGTTTGTGATTTGGCGCAGGGCACATGGACCAGATGCAGTCCTGATGGCAGAGGGCAACCGTCTCGCTGAGCTGACCCAATCCCAGATGCTTCACATTGCCCAGCAGATTGCAGCTGGCATGGTTTACCTGGCATCACAGCACTTTGTGCATCGGGATCTTGCTACCCGGAATTGCCTGGTTGGTGAGAACCTACTGGTGAAGATTGGGGATTTTGGGATGTCTAGAGATGTGTACAGCACGGACTACTATAGGGTAAGTGAACTGCTGTAATTGCTCATAACCTAGGTCTTGTTCAGTCATCTTACCACACTGATGTGACTGATTCTGCTTTTACAATCAAGCACCTGTCTGTCAGGTAATTTAGAGGCTGGGATATGGAGAACCTGGTTTTGAGTTACAAAGTTTTGGTAAATTTGGAGAGAGTTAATTACGGTAAGATCGGCATGCCCTGTTGTTTGTATATGTTGGCTTTGTATTCTAATAGTAAATCACAGAAAGGTCTTTTTCTCTGGATAGAAATTTTGCGTGTTTGCTTGGCGTTAGCGAAGAAGAAGCAGCAACAAATAAAAAGAAGAGTGGGTGATCAAACTTGGCCCAACCCTTCCAAGTTATTAAAATATGTCCTTACATATTGCTAAGACAAATGGTAATTTTAACTTCTGGGTATTGTATAATGTTTGAGTTTACCAGAGGAGGTGTGGATACTTGTCAGCAGTACTGGACCAGTTATTTTGCTCAGGAGGAGACTAGGTGAGAAATTGTTATATACTCAGCAGCTGAAAGGCTCTCAGTAAGTTTTTCCTGCCTTAAGCCAGATCTTTAGTCCTCCTGCTTGTGGTTGAATAGTTGTTTTGTGGTGCATTACAGTAGCCCATCACATTTGTTCTTTCTGGCCCAGGCCATTTTCCCTGAGCTCGGTTGCCATAAAATGGTCTCTGAAGTTTGCAGAGGGCTTGTAGGATTGCTAGGATAAGCAGGACTGTGTACATTAATTACTGTTGTTGATGTTGTGTTTGTACTGTGTGGCAAGTCATGTAGTTGACAGCATTTGCTGTTTGCTACCACGTTTGTAATTTCATGATTGGAATTGAAGCTATCGGTGTTTGCAGCTTTGGGAAGGCATTTCATGGCCATGCTGTTAGTTTATAAACCCTAAAGTTCATCCTGTAAGATAAGCCACTCGGCATCTTCAAGCACATTTTCTGTGTCTGCCTCTCACATGACTTGTTGCCAGTGAATTCCTTATAGATAAAAAGAAGGCCTCCTCCTTTAGCCACCCAGTTTGGGCTGCTGTGTCCTTAAAGGGGAGTGTCACCTCAGCGTCAGTGGTTATGGGATGCCTGGAAAGAAATTGGCCCTACATCCAGGTGAGGCTGGACAGGGAAGAGGAAGCTACAACCAAGAATTATTGTTGGGTGTTGTTTCACTTAACAGCTCCTCTGAAGTAACAGTCTCCACTGTTCTTTGTCTTTTTTTTTAGGCAAACCTAGTGTTTAGTTAATAAACATATGAGCCGGATTCCTCTTGTACTTCGTTATTTTGGAAATTTGACACTTCAAGCTATTTGGTCAATGTAAAACAAGCATGACTGCACTTCAGAACTTGCAAAAACATAGAGAGTGGTAATCACTGCCTCTCTTTGTGCTTGTGAGGACACCAGTGAGCACCAAAGGCCAGGGTTTTGTGATTTTGCATCTGAAGTATGACTTGTTGGGACTGGAGGTGTGTCTCTGTTCTGTACTTCAGTGAGACTGAATTTGTTTACCACGTTCGTCATTAGCTTTAAGAATGAATGTCCATGCTTAACAGTAAGTGTTTGGAAAGGCCTTGACAGTCCGAGGCAGCATTTTGACAAGTAAATGTTCTGCTTATTTAAAAAAAAAAAATTAGTAACTCCCTGCTGCAGAAAAACTACCCACAAAAAGGGATGGAAACTAAGTAATCATACGGGCTTTCTAGGGACAACTGGTGCCTGGTACAGGCATGTGACAGTGTACTGACTCTGGCATCATCTTTCCTGCTCATGTACCTCTGGGTTTAATCCTTGAGTCTGACTTGTGAGCACTCAAGTAAAGCTTCTACCCAATAAAATTTAGAACAAGACCCATGACCTGGAGAAAGTAGGGGTTTACCAAGGAAATTGGGGGTAACCTGGATACTCCTTAGGTACCTCTCAGGGGCCTTATTCAAAGGGTACACTGCATTTCTCACTGCCTCTCTCCTTCTTCTCTCCCTTTCATCACTTCTTTTGCAGCCAAGGGAGGTTCTGCAGGGTCAGTGGTGTAACAAAGGAGGAGAAACGGGGAGTAGTGTGAAGAGGGTGCAATCATGGCTGTGAGAGAGGCAGGAAAGGCAGGAAAGGCAAGTGTAGAGAGGTGTTCGCAAAAACAAAAGTGTGAATGAAGGGAGAAGGAGGTATGCAAGTGTCAGAGGGGATGAATGAAGATGTAAGGTGGCATGGGTCCATCCAAATTGATAGTTTAAGCTTGCAGTATGATGGATGGGTATGAAAGTTGGGAAGTCGCTTGTTCTGCACAGTGAGAAAGACAAGAAAGACCATTTCTCTGGCACCTCATGTTCCAGCTGGCTTCTAGCTGGTTCAGAGGAGGGACAGAGCCTGCTGTGCCACCGTATTTCACAGTGATAAAAGTTGGAAGTTCCAGCTGCGCCTGTGAGGTTTTGGCCTGACCTGGTTGGGCCATATGTGGGCTGGTCAGAAGCTGGTCGGAAAAGAGTCAAGGCTAGGATGACTTTCATAGAATCATAGAATCACAGAATGGTTTGGGTTGGAAGGGACCTTAAAGACCTTCTAGTTCCAACCCCCCTGCCATGGGCAGGGACACCTTGCACTAGACCAGGTTGCTCAAAGCCTCATCCAGCCTGGACTTGAAGACATCCAGGGATGGGGCATCCACAACATCTCTGGGCAACCTGTTCCAGTGCCTCACCACCCTCTCCATGAAGAACTTCCTGATATCTAATCTAAACCTCCCTGATTTCAATTTATACCCATTACCCCTTGTCCTGTCACTACAGGTCCTTGTAAAAAGTCCTCTCCCAGCACCCTTGTAGGCCCCCTTCAGATACTGGAAAGCTGCAGTGAGGTCTCCTTGGAGCCTCCTCTTCTCCAAGCTGAACAAGCCCAGTTCTTGCAGCCTTTCATCATAGGAGAGGTGCTCCAGCCCTCTGATCATCTTCATGGCCTCCTCTGGACTCACTCCAACCGGTCAATATCCTTCTGATGTTGAGGGCTTCACAGCTGGACGCAGCACTCCAGGTGGGGTCTCACCAGAGCAGAGTAGAGGGGCAGAATCACCTCCCTTGACCAGCTGGCCACGCTTCTCTGGATACAGCCCAGGATACTTTCCAGACAGTCGCCTAGAGAACTATATCCATAGCAGGACTAAGAAATGAAACTGTCAATGATGACACTGGGATGGCACTGACCTACCGTACCTAATTGTTTATAGCAGGCTGAGTCTTTTTTTACTGCTCAGGCTTGATCACATACATAGAAGCAATTCTTCCCCAACCTTGACAGCTTTATCTGATGCTTGTTGGAAAGATTTACAGAGCTCCAAAAAGCTCTGCAAGAAATGGTTCAGCATTTATGTTTATGAGCATGCTGGAATCAGTTTTTTGGGATCCTACCGCCCTGTTAAGATGTTAGTTTTGCCCAAGAAGGTTATTTATATCTTGCTTATGTAACATAAGGATGATTCCCAGTCCTTGTTCACTGTTAGATTGTTAATGACATTCTGCATTGAATCAGCTCAGTTGTTAAGAGATGCTTAGGGAAGAGAGGGAAAGAAACAACCCTTGGGCTGGGAATGTATTTGGGGTATGTGGCCCTGATTGCACAAGCTTGCCTTTTTCTCCTCTTCTTTTTTCCTTCCTTTTTCATCAGTCGGGAATCTTGGGCAGGTGGGGAGGAGCCCTGGTGTACATGCTAGAGTTCAGTGTAGCAGCAATGGTTTTCCATAGTCAGACCCGATGAGCGGGGGGACATGAAGAAACTGCAGTGGCTTTTCTTACCAGCACTGCTGTCCACCCCAGGCCAAACTAAAACAACTGTCAAGTAATTAGTGTGGCCTGAGTGCCCAACAGCTCCAGCCACGCTGTGCTGCACTACCGTCCTTGCAGCACAGTGGATTATTTCACAAAGTCATTTACTTGCAGAGCTTAGGTCTCAGGTTCATTAGGGGCTTTTATTTTTTTTGTTGTTGATGTCTCACTTTTGTTGTTTGGACTCCCAACCCCCACAGGTCAGGGTTTCCCATCTTGCCCTCTGAGTGTGACTCAGCAGCAGCTTTCACTGGCTTAAAGTATTGACACTGAAGCATGGGAACGACTACTTTGCTAATATTTGTTCTTGCACTCAGAGATAGTGTATCTGGCCCTTTTTAGGGATTTGCAAGTGGTTGCTCAGTACTTGGTCTTAAAATAGTTGTCTGCATTTCTTTATCATAAGCAAAAAGCTTTTTAAAAAAAAAAAAAAGGTTTGTCTTATCCCGGTACTTGGAAAAACTTAACCAGAGATACGCTTTAAATATTCAGCCTGGTCAGCTAACTTCAGGATTGCGCCAAGATTTTGGATGAAACTGTGATCTCACAGGAGTAAGCAAGAGCTTTGCCATTAACTTCATTAGGACCAGAATTTCACCCCTCCACATTTTTACATTTGTCCAGTGCAGGATAGAGACTCTGTTTCTGATTTAGATTTATGGAGTTCAGTTGTGTAATCCCTATTTAGCTATTGTATAACTTACTTGCCTTTATGCAACAGTGCAAGGAACAGTGTAGAAAATAAGGACTTATTTTCTCCACTTGTACAAACCACTCAAGGATCTGTCAAAAGACTGGGGCTCTTAGTGAGGTTTCCACCTTCCTTTAGGCACAGCTCACCCCAAGAGGACAGAGCAGTTCATAAGTCACAAATTAGTGTCCTCCACTTCTGGCACAGATGGAGCAGAAGAACCCAAGAGGATGCGTGTCAGTATAAAGTCCAGTGACCTGACTGCTCTTTAAAATCTTCTGCATATTTTGTCCCATATTTTGCTATTTAAAGAGTGCATAACATGTAGAATTGGAAGAAGCAGTATAGGTTACTGAGCCCAAGTCTTCCAGTCTTGCAGGAAACCATGCAGTAGGTATTAAGGGTAGGAGGAGCTATGAAAACCTCAGACCTACTTACGGAAAAACCCAACACTCATTAACTGTAGTCCCTTCTTTATAATGCACCAAACACCATC